TTAACAAGTAATATTAAACCAAAAATCCCAGTAGTTTGCTTTCCTTTTCATTTTGCAAATTGCATTAAGAAGAAATTTTTAATGTGAAATACAATATCTTCAATTGTTTATATTATTCCATTCATTAAATAATTTCTCTGTCCATTATCTGGAGCTTGAGTGGATTGATATTCATGAATTGTAGATATGTGACATGGTAGCTGTTGCCCGTCTAATAAAGGCTACTCTTGTAATTCCAGAACTTGATAAGCGATCCTTTTGGAAAGACACCAGGTATCCTGTTGCTCACTTTTGGAAATGTTTTTAGAATATCTCTGATTGTGGATCTTCATCACTGATTCAATGCTTTGTATCTTGGTTAATTTGCAGCAACTTCTCTGATGTTTTTGATGAGGACCATTTTATTAGTGCTTTGGCTAATGATATTAGAGTGATAAAAAAACCTCCAAAGGATATCCCCTCTGGTGCCAAAGTTGTTAAGCATTTTAAAAGCTGGTCTGGACTGCATTACTACCAGGATGATATAGCTCCCATGTGGGAGGAATATAAGGTTGGTTTGTTGGGATTCTTTGGTTATATACTTATATCTGCTTGTTTGTGTTCTTTCCCTGATGAAAGTATTCCTTCCCACGTGTTTTCACTCCATTTCCCCTCTACTTTCTCTTTTCATCAGGTTATTCGAGCAGCAAAATCTGATTCACGTCTAGCCAACAACAATTTGCCTCCTGACATACAGAAGCTTCGGTGTCATACGTGCTTTGAAGCCCTTCGTTTTTCACCCAAAATTGAGGCCATGGGGAAAGTAAGCAGTTGGATCTCAATTATCATTTTATTCCTTGGAGCCACTTATCTATATTTCTCTTCTTTTCTATTTAGTGACCATAAAATTGTTTATTTGTTGGTAATGTAGTTGTTGGTGGAGAGAATGAGGTCTTATGGTCCTTATATTGCATTGCATTTACGATATGAGAAGGATATGCTTGCCTTCAGCGGATGTACACACAGTTTATCTGAGGCTGAAGCTGAGGAACTAAGGATAATCAGGTACAAGGTTTTTCTACTGGTCTTTATTATTTATTAATGATCAACTTAACATTTATTTATGTTGTTCAACCATTCTTTTTCCAGAAATGGTACTGATTCCCAATATTTCTAATTTGTACTAATTTATTCTTGTGCAGAGAAAACACCGCGTACTGGAAAGTAAAGGATATTGATGCCATGCAACAGAGGTCCAAAGGATATTGCCCCTTGACCCCGAAAGAGGTTGGAATTTTTCTCCATGCTCTTGGATACCCACAAGAAACCCCTATATACATTGCTTCTGGAGAGATATATGGGGGTGATTCACGTTTGGCTGATTTAAGGTCCCGCTTTCCCATGCTAATGGGCAAGGTATGGGCTTACATCATTTTATTCTGTTGATTCTTCTTTTTGAGTGACTAATAAGCTGCTAGTTTTTTATAGGGAGATGGTTTTGCATGAGGCCAATTGAATTTATTGTCATATATCAATTTTAAAGTGTTGTTTGTTGATGGATAGGAAGTCATTTCATAACTTCAAAGAATAGGATCATTTCATTTCTTATGATGCTTTGCAGGAAAAATTGGCTTCTGTTGAGGAGCTTGACCCATTCAATGGTCATGCAACTCAATTGGCTGCACTTGATTACATTGTATCTGTTGAAAGTGATGTCTTTATCCCGACATACTCTGGAAACATGGCAAGGGCAGTTGAAGGGCATCGTCGTTTCCTAGGGCACCGTAAAACTATTTCTCCTGACAGGTAGGGCTGTTTCTTCCTGGAATACATGAATTTTAAATGACTTTTCTCTTGGATTGGATATTGTAATCAAGTTCTGCCTGCTGAAGTGATTTTAATATACTGTGCATCAGGAAATCACTTGTTCGTCTTTTTGACAAAATGGAGAGGGGGATATTGAAGGAAGGCCCAAAGTTATCCTATTGGGTTGTTGAAATTCATAAAAAACTGTATGGGATTCTTGTTCCAGTAATTGATAAATGCTGCCTTCTTTTTTTTTTTTTTTCAATTGAGTGATTAGGTAATGTTTTGTTGGTTCTTTGGTGAATTTACCTTGAATCTTTGATGGTCTGACATCATCCATTGTAAGATCATTGGATATAGCCTAATTGCTTAGAGTGGTTAAGAAATCAGATCTGGAGTCTTTGCCCTATATGCAAGTTATTTCTGCTATTTCCCTTTCCTTTTTTTTTTTTTGGTCATGCTCTTTTCTTTTGTGAGAAGTTAGGCAAAAAGACCTTGGGTTTGTGATAGATGTAAGAAAAAACGTTGGAATAGGCATCTGTTTTTGCCTGCCAAAGTGACAGATGTGAGACGGTTTAAAGTTTACTCTCAATTGTACTTCTCAAAAAGTTGCTATTAGGGTGAAACTTGGTTCATTTAGCTCTGCTACTTAAGACCTGATTAGAATCTACTGGACCAGGAGGCTAGTGTTGCTTATGGTAGGATGGACAATAGGTTAGATAATGAGATTTGAGAATCCCTTCATGGTGCCATTATGTTATTATTCATGTGGAGCATAACAAGCCCACATTTAACTTGCATTTCATTCTTGTGTTGATTGTGCAGGCAAGGGTCTCCACGGAGGAGAAAGGGTCCTGTCTCAGGAACAAAGGGCATGGATAGATTTCGTTCAGAAGAATCATTTTATGAAAATCCCTTACCAGATTGTTTGTGCAGAAGAGAGGCACCAATTCTGAATGCTACACTTGGAATCATGTAGATCCGACCTTAGAGAGTGATTTCTTTCTATGAAGTTCCCCTGCTGGTTGGCCTGCGGCACATTATGCTTTACAGTAGTTTTACTCTCTGCAAGCCTGCCAGTGCCTTATAAAAAGAGGGGACGCGGAATGTGAATATCTTGAGTTCAAGTAGCTTCAACACATTAATATGAATAATGCATTAGTTACAGGGGACAGGTATAGAGAAACCAAAATACAGCGCCTTCCATACCAAGGCACGTTTTTATGCTTTGAAAAGTTGGATAGATTTCTAGACCTTTTTTTTTTTTGGGTTAGTCAGCAAGCTAGGTTCTAGAGTTGGGACCTTGGGATCAAGCCTTATCCTTGAGGGCATTTGGAGATGTATTAGTTCTCCAAGAAATAATGTGTTCTTTTAATATTCGCGTATTTTTCTTCAATTTTCGGCTATTAATTTCAATGATAGTGAAAGCATTATTTCCTTTGCTTACTTTCTCTTTAAGTTTAATTAAAATGGAGCAAATTCAAATCAGCAATTCTTATTTTCTATGCACTAGCCTGAAATTTTTAATGGTGCAACCAAAAATTTTTCACATTTTCACCTCGACTCTGGTAAAGATAATCGAAAAACAGAAATGATTAACTAAAACCAAAAAGCCCTCATAAAATATCTATCACTCTCTTTTGGGTTGCATGGCAGATAAAACTGCGAAGGTGTGTCACTCACTTTACTCAAAGTGAAAAAGAAGGATTCTCGGTGACCCTTACTGTTTCCAAACGTGGAACTCAACTACGAGTCGATAGAAGAGCACTGGTTAAAAAAATTATGAGATGCGCCTTGGTCAGACGATTGTCATAGAAACAGGGATGCATTTCTACATAAAGGTCCATAAATAATTGCCCTGAAAGAACATCAGGGACTTCTCACAACTAGGGCTAAAATGTTAGTTTACTGATCAAAATAAAAGAGGAAAATAAAGGAAAGGAGACGAAAGAGAGTGCATGGCATGAAAACTAAATTGCAAAGAGAAAGCGTGATACCGTCGCGAAAGCATGAAAATGTAGAAAACGTGGAAAACGAAATAGAAACTGAAGCATAAAACTAAACTTAAAAGAAGCTAGAAAGATGAATTTGGGGCAAAATGCAATAAATTGAATTGCAGAAAACTAAATACATCGAGTGAAGATGTTCACAACGAAATAACAAAAATCAAAGTTAAAACTAATGATAGCGTAGAGTTAAAGACTAAATTAGAAAAGCTGTTTGAGAAAATTGGATTTAAACTAAAACATTGCTTATAAAACTAAAATGTAGATAGCACTGGGCTAATTGTGTGAGAGGTTGGTCTTTTTGCTTGATCTAATCATCGGGTATTTATAGCACCTTGGCAATATAGTGGAGTTTTGCTGACGGCATCTTGAAAACCAACGGCAGCATAAAATTTACAACAAATTGATTAATCTGTTTGTGTTACTGATTATCCTCCTGAAAGTTCGCAACAAGCAAACGAATTTGTTGCAGTTGTGGAAATAACCACTCAACCTTAGCTAGAGAGATTTACTCCAACAACTTTCAACTAATGAGATTCTTGCTAACATGGATGACATGTG